TTTTGGCAAGGTCTGCTGTCTTTTGTTTCTTGTTACCAAAGGAGGATGGTCAGCATTAAAAATATTACGTAGATGAAAACAATTAGTTGTAATATTGTTTTTCAATACATCAGTCAAAACAATTTTTGGCTGAAATTCTGGAATTTCAGCACCATGTTGACAAGAACTGCTGGAGAATGATTGCCTCCTGCTGATACCTTCTTTGGATGGCAGGCAGATCTGACTTTCCTGTGGATGATCTAAACATGTCAGTGACTTGGTTGGCCGGTTTTTCTGTCTCAAAACAATTTTTGGCTGAGATTCTGGAATTTCAGGAGCATGTTGACAAGAACTTTTGAAGAATGGCTGTCTCCCGCTGGTATTTTCTTTGGATGGCAGGCAGATGTGATTCTTCTGTGGATGAACTGAATATGCCGGTGACTTGTCCAGCTGTGATTTCTGTGTTGGCAACGGTTCATTAGGTTGTGTCTTTTTACCTTCACTGACAGTTGTCTCAGCATTCTCCAGAACTATCCGACAAGCAGTCTCAAAGTCTATAGGCTTCAGGCATCTACCTCCAGAGTTACAGCCTGAAGGAGAACTGTTACACTTGGCTGCAGCAGGTATTGTTTGTCCATCACTGACTACGTTCTGCCAACATAATGAGTTGAGCCTCAATGTTTTATGACACACCGAAGTAACTGTAAAATCTTGCACTGTGCAAGAAACATCTTCACTTTGTGAGGACCTGGTTCTTTTGGCTTTGGCTGAAGGAACAGAGCTTGTGATGGCTGTTTCTAAATTATGTCTACCTGTGTCCTGTTTCTCTTGTATCCGTTGTTTAGAAATCATATTAAGATACAGCGTTGTATGTAGTGGAGATGATGGTGGCTTTATGTGAAAAACAGACTTTGTGTCTACGGATGGGTGGTATTTATCTTGTAGGTTTATACTTTCAGAGTCAGCTGATGATACAAGCTTCTCCGAGTCATTAAATAAAACATTTGCAGAGTCTGATGATGATGATATGAGCTTCTCTGAGTCTGTTGATGATACGATGACCTCAGGTTCTGTCAGTGGCACCGTATTCTTACTGCTGCTGTCAGCTTCATGTCCAGCAATCATGTAAATGTCCCCAGATGACGATGATGACAGGTCAATGACAGGTGACATCACTGCTGGGCTATCATGCAAGTTATCTGATTTCTCATGCTGTGCTGTTGATTCAAGCATCCTTGTACTACTTTCACTAGACTGGGTCCCATATTTTCTCTCAAAAACTACTGATGAATAGCGGAGTCTGGAACATTTTCTGTTCTCTTGTTGGCCATTAGAGGTCTTCAGGTTCACCTTATCATTGATCTCTCTTGTGTTCCTGTGTGAGCTAACACTCTTATAAAGCTGCGGCTGCCTACTAACTAGTTCATTACTTTTTGTCACCACTCTTCCATCTGACTGCCTCGGAACTTCACTTGTGTTTGATTTCTGAATTATTCCTGCCTGAGTCAGAACATTACATTCATCTCCTTCACAAACTTTGACCTGTCGCTGTAGGATTCTGTCATTCTCTTCTTTTAATCCAGACTTTAAACCATCAATAAGAGGTGAAACTTCCTGTTCTGTATCAGAAAATAAACTAAGAGAATTGTTTTTATCTAGTTCACTTTTGTTGCTGTATTGTTTATCACAGAAGTCAGTTTTTTTAGCTAGAACAGAATACTTTCTTTGATGATTCAGGGTTTCAATAAAATCTTCTTTTGTAAAGCTATCCGTTGACTGACTGGAAACTGAGCCCATGTGTGGCAGATGGCTTTTCTGTCTTATTTCACCTTTCATTGTAGGTTGTGAAAACAAACTTCCAGAGCTTGACGAAGTGTTCTTCTCGTACGAAGACAGTCTAAGAAATTCGTTTGAAGGAAATGAAGAGATAGATGAACCATTACTTGACGTCCATCCTGATGGCAGAAGAAAGAAGTTTCATCATTAGTTTAGTATTAAATCATTAGATATTTAATTATGTACATGTCTGCTCGTCTGTGTTTGTGGCTTAGACGGTGCAAAACCTGCTTTGTAGTGCCAGGTTCGATCCCAGCTGCGGATGAATTGTCTTGCATTGGTTTTGACAGTAGAACCGAGAGCTGAACATTCAGAAAGCAATGGCATACTACTGAACGTAAAATGTGCCTATAAAAACCACCATAGCCAAAAATGCTGAGGTTGGTTCTGCAATGTCCTGTAAAGAATATGCAACTAGCTTTAACATGTCTGCTCGGAGTTAACTTTGCAATTTTTGTGGCAGACAGTTGGGGTTAGCACCTCTGGTGCACCTTATGCACTTACTGCATGTGCAAGCTTCTGGATCTTGCAGGGACCGGTATATTTCACTAATTTTCAAATAAGACAGTAAAGAGCATTTTGTGGGATTTTTTATTGACACAGGAACAATAAAAAAGTCTGGTTCAGTTTTCTGTAAAACAGAATTTATGTAAAACAGTCTAGTTTAGTTTCTTTAGACAGGCAGTCTGATTTATGTAAAACAGTCTAGTTTCTGCTGGGAATTATATTGTAGTCAATGTACACCCCTACATGCGGAAGACTAAATACAGGGCTGACCACACAGAGAAAAAGATGATGTGCTGTTTGGCAACAGATACAAGCAGTTTCACAAAGAGACTTTAGGTACAAAGAAGATGACATTCAGACACGATTTGAATATAGGCAATATTTATTGACAGGGAAGACAGCATGAGGATATTATAAAAGACTGTGTGTAGTATGCTAATATTTACAGAGAACAAAAGAAGATCATCACATTAGAGAGATGAACACACTGTGAGAGTAGCAAATATCTTTGAAAGAGAAATCAAAAGAAATCATGAAACATGCTCCCTCATGTGGGTTCCCCCGACCCCCTCAACAAGCATGTCATAAGAGTTGACTAATTATTGGCAAGGAATCAACAGTCTTAGTACAAATAAACCAGATCTATAAAATGGATGTTCATGCAAAACTCAAGTTCTGGGACTTAAAGAGATTACCAGAACTTTCTGCTAGAGTTTACAGCCATTGAATGTAAAGAAGAAGAGGAAGAAGAAACATGCACTGGCAGACACAACACCAGTAAGTCTGTAATACAACATTACTCCAGGATTTATGAGCAAAAGAACCAAACTGAGGTTCCTCACCTGGTAACTGTGCTAGTATCTTCAACTGATCAGGTGGTACAAAAAGATCCCAATATGTTGGAGTTGGTAACTCATCCTTTCCTCCATGCAAAGATGGTGATTTGTGGTGATCCACAGTTGGCTTGCTTTCATCTGTATATAATGATTATTGAAAGGCAACAGATGATAGGTCAGTACATTCAGTTAAGTTAAGGTTAAAGTCAAAAAGATCGACTTCACTAAACCAGGTTTTATCCCATATGACTCACCCTTTCACTATAGAACTACTAGCCGCCTGCCAAGAGTGTCGCACAAAGCACAAACATTACAGCTCCAGCGACGACCTCCGTAAAATTACGTCAAGTGCAGTTTAATATAAGTGATGGACCTAAAGCTTTTGCGTGCAAATGTTTCTGAATTTTGCCACATTTTAAATGAGACAGTAAGAAAGGACCATTTTTCAGTAGCACAGGAATGGAGGATTAACGGAGTGACCAGTTTACAGAGAAGTTGAAACTATAACTACCGATAACTGACCAACTGAGTATAAATTAAACAGCCTGGTGGATTCTCCTTCATCTGATTCCATCAGTAGAACTAGAAAGAAAACGATACAGAGACTGTTAAGTAATGTTAACTGATGTTAAGTAATGTTAAGTAATGTTAACTGATGTTAAGTAATGTTAAGTAATGTTAAGTAATGTTAAGTAATGTTAACTGATGTTAAGTGATGTTAACTGATGTTAAGTAATGTTAAGTAATGTTAAGTAAAGAACTATTTTCATGAAACAACATATCTTACATTTAAAATTAAAGGACCCTTTTCTGCACCTTTAGGTGTATTGGGCATATAAGACTAGACCTATATTTTTTTCTAGACTAATCCGCACTCAGTGGGTGATGTAGTCAACATCATGCCGGTCGCCTTTACTTCCCAGGACTTTAGCTGGTACCTATTTATGTCTGAGTCAACTTGGTAGTCATGGCCATTAAAAAAAAAAAAAGTCTTGTTCCGTCAGGACGTGAACTTATGACCTTCAGATGTGAGCATCTAGCCACTACAACACGGTGGCTCCCATACACCAAATATATATCAGACACTTATTTTTACAGATCAATGAACAAAAACAAACATATTTGCTACTGGAAAGAAAAAAAGCTATATATTCCTAATTGTGACTATTATTACATGAACTTACCAGTATGGTTTACTTTCTGCTTGTCAGATTTCTTACTGCTATCCTGAATACTCTCTTGTGCCATAAGTTCCAAAAGTTGGGAAGCAGAAATATCTTCTTCTGCTACAGCATGCTTGCCTGTCTTTTTATTCTGTTGAGCTTCTAATACAAATTTCTTCATTAGAGAAACATCTCGTAAATTGTCACAATCTGCTTGATGACTTAATCCAAAATCTTGATCTTGTTGTTGAATACTCCCATCCTGATAGCAAGAATCTCGTGAGGCAACATGAAGTATATTTTTAGAATTCTGGGGTTCAGTTTTGGAGAAACAAGTTTCTTTCATACAAATAACAGACATGTCATTTTTGGATTTCTTAGTGGAAGATGTGACATGTGAAATATTTTTACTGGAACCTCTGGGAGTGGAACTAGCAGGTTTAATGCTACTTTCCTTGAGTGTGTCCTTTTGTTGAAGCTGATGTTGGACTGCAGAAGAATCAACTCCCAGACAGGTCAGCTTGGCTTCAGAAGAGACAATGAGGCTGTCAGTCTGACTGGTTGGTCTGGCAAGAGTAAGCATATTCTGGCTGTCACTCTGATTGGCTAACCTGGCTAGACAGGATAGAATCTGACTGTTGCTGTTACTGGCTAGATTCTGACTGTCACTCTGATTGGCTAGATTATGACCAATGCTCTGACTGGATAGATTTTGACTTTCACTCTGATTAGCTAGATTCTGACTTTTGCTTTGATTGGCTAACCTAGCTAGACAAGATAAAATCTGACTGTTGCTGTTACTGGCTAGATTCTGACTGTTGCTCTGACTGGCTAGATTTTGACTTTCACTCTGATTAGCTAGATTCTGACTGTTGCTCTGATTGGCTAGCCTGGCTAGACAACACAGATTCTGACTACTGCTTTGATTGGTCAGATTCTGGCTATCACTTTGATTGGCTAATTTGGCTAGACAAGATAGATTCTGACTATTGCTCTGACTGGTTAGATTCTGACTTGGACTGTGATCAGCTAGTCTGCCTAGACGAGATAGATTCTGACCGCTTCTTTGCTGCTGAAAACCTGAACCTCTCTCTGCACCAGACCTTCATTTTAGAGAAATAAAAGAACAAAACCAATTTAAACTTCTTTTTACTAAAATGTAACCTTAAAAATTATATTTATTCAACAATATACAGTTCAATTACTTCCAGTTGTTTTAAAGTTTAAAACACAACATCATCCTTCCATTCTTCCCAAGATCTGCTGACATGAAGCTGGTTGACTGGTTTAGAGAATACCAGACTGACTGTTCACTCTTTTATCAATCCATGTGTTCACTTTTATGTCTGCCCATATGTTCACTCTTATATCCATCCATGTGTTTACTTGTATGTCTTCCCATATGTTCACTCTTATATCCATCCATGTGTTCACTTTTAAATCTACCCATATGTTCACTCTTAAATCCATCCATGTGTTCACTTTTATATCTACCCATATGTTCACTCTTATATCCATCCATGTGTTCACTTTTATATCTACCCATATGTTCACTCTTATATCCATCCATGTGTTCACTTTTATATCTACCCATATGTTCACTCTTATATCCATCCATGTGTTCACTTTTATGTCTGCCCATATGTTCACTCTTATATCCATCCATGAGTTCAATTCTATGTCTACCCATATGTTCACTCTTATATCCATCCATGTGTTCACTTTTATGACTACCCATATGTTCACTCTTATATCCATCCATGTGTTCACTTTTATGTCTACCCATATGTTCACTCTCATATCCATCAATGTGTTCACTTTTATATCTACCCATATGTTCACTCTTATATCCATCCATGTGTTCACTTTTATATCTACCCATATGTTTACTCTTATATCCATCCATGTGTTCACTTTTATGTCTACCCATATGTTCACTCTTATATCCATCCATGTGTTCACTTGTATGTCTACCCATATGTTCACTCTTATATCCATCCATGTGTTCACTTTTATGTCTACCTATATGTTCACTCTAATGTCAACCTATGTGTTCACTCCTATGTCAACCCCAAATGTTCACTCTAATGTAAACCCATATGTTCACTCTTATGTATACCCGTACTTGTATGTTAACGTTTATGTCCATCTATATCTTCACTTGTATGTTCACGTTTATGTCCATCTATATTTTCACTTGTATGTTCACGTTTATGTCCATCTATATTTTCACTTGTATGTTCACGTTTATGTCCATCTATATTTTCACTTGTATGTTCACGTTTATGTCCATCTATATTTTCACTTGTATGTTCACGTTTATGTCCATCTATATTTTCACTTGTATGTTCACGTTTATGTCCATCTATATTTTCACTTGTATGTTCACGTTTATGTCCATCTATATTTTCACTTGTATGTTCACGTTTATGTCCATCTATATTTTCACTTGTATGTTCACGTTTATGTCCATCTATATTTTCACTCTTATGTCCACCCATATGTCCACCCATTTGTCCACCCATATATCCACCCATATGCTGACCATTACAGCCAACACTTGGCCTGTAGATCACTGCAGCCCTTACATGAGCTGGCATCAAAGTGAGCCCGGCATTCCAACTATTCTCCTGACCCCTGACCAAAGTACGGTTCTTTACTAATATCCTACCCCCGATGACATCACAGGACAGTCCAACATTTCAGAGGGTGTTCAGACTGGGTTTCCTGGCTTTCTGATGCTTTTAATGACTCCAAAACATCTAGAACTGTCCCTAACCCCAACCAACCTATGCCCCATGAGAGAGTGCAGCCTAGGTCCCACAACTGCAAGCAGTCTATCTACCACCCCCTGAAACATTAGACTGTACAGTGACCTGTGGATTTTCCCAGTTTGGGGTAGAATATTAATAAAGCACCCAAGTACCTTCTTCACTAGGACTATGTTTGAGAGCGTTTATTTCCCCTGTCAAGTATGAAACAATTGTACTGTTCGCAAGACTGGTAATGGAACATCTTATTTTCAGAAATACTTATGAGGACAACCAATGTATGCTTTTTTAGGGTGATGTGGGAAATAATGTACTTGAGAACTCGATGGCAAGATTGATAGAAAGAAAGAAAAATGGAAAGACAAAGAGATAAATACTTGGTGAGTTGGTCGCATGGATGCGGCGGCACAGATTCGTTGACCTGATCAGTGATTTTGCTGATAGTGCGTTATGGCAAATTATGACTGCGTACACTTATTGATAGGGCACACCCTATTAATGAAAGACCATGTTCACAGTCATCATCATCATCATAAACCACTTCTGCCGTTAAGCCTTATGGGTAGGAATAATTAGAAATCCAGTGCATGCTGGCTGCCAGTTGCTACTGTCATGCCGTGAAGGCGTAGAATGTCTTTAATGTTGTTGATCCATATTTTCTGCGGCCGTCCTCTTGCTCTTGTAGCTGATCTTCTGAGATGTAGTGCTTGTGATGGTATTTGATCTTGCTGCATTCTAACGAGATGGCCAAACCACTTGGTGTGCTGTTTCTTGATGAATCTGGTAGAAGGTGTCGTTCCAACAATTTGATAGTCTCATTATTAACTCATTCTCAGATGATTTTGTTTTGTTTTTGTTTTAGTATCCAGAAGCCATGAGTTGTTAACCCTTAGGCTCAGTATTGTGGATATCGCAACCTTTCGGCCTTGATTCCATTGTAAATACCGTAAATCTGGGAGAAAATGTGGCTTTCCTGCCTACCCCCGGGATTGAACCCGGACCACAAGGAGTTCGTCACCCGGTCTCCTCGCAATCCGGTTTAGCCAACTACGCTAGAGAGCCGGGCTCTCAGATGATTAAGTTGATTGCTTTTCTCAGGCATCTCATTTTGCAGGTGGTGATTTTGTGTATATGGGTTTTAGATAGTATCCATGTTTGGCCATGTTCACAGTATTGAATAAATGTGGACTTACTGCAAGCAACTGCCTCAACAAAGACAGAAATACCTGGAAGCTAAACCACATGGATGGAGGTGAAACAAGAGCACTGACCTGATCTTTGAGATAGTGAATCAGGACCACCTATGCTAATCTGCCGCTGACATAATGATGATGATGATGACATTAGAGTGTAACCAGATCAAGGTTCAGTACAACATGTATGAAATGGCTGAGATATACAAGATGGACACAGACAAGCTACTTTACCACAACAGAGAATTGACAAAACACTTACCATGTCATAAAACAGCCATGGAGACAGTTTCTCACAGCTTCTAACAAATTCCTAAAATGTAAAAAAAAACAAAAGTTCTAGCTGATAAAGCAAGCAGTTGCCTCAATGTATTATGCCACAATTCAGTACAGCTTGACATTTAACAAATCTGGCAACCTCCATACCTTAGCAGTGCTGGATTTGTGAAAGCCGGATTTTTTATGGTTAAATATATTGTATGCATTTAACAGATAATGACTACCTGTAGTCCTCGAGAGAAAATTAAGCACTGAATGAAAAACAAATAAAATTGTAATGTTCACTAAATCAATAAAACAGTTCTACAGAAAAATAATTCAACTGAATATAATAGTTCCTCAGAATTTTAACTAAATAAACAAAACAGGATCCTCTGAATGTTAATCATTACTGTAAGCTGAAAAGCAGATGGACTGCCTTCTTCTTCCTCTTCTTCACATTCACCGGTTCTACACTCTGGTAGAAAGTTCTGGTTGTTTATCCACTCCTAAATTTTGGTCTTGTAAGAAGTTGAGTTTTGCCTAAACATCCATTTTACAGATCTGGCTTGTGTACTGAGACTGTTGATTCCTTGCCTCTCAGGCAGTTGTACTTCAACTTCATAATGACCCCCCCCCCCCTCCCCAACCCTCCCCCCGCACCCTCTCCCAATTCTTCTTCTTCTGCCTTTCTATCCCCCAATGGAGCATAGGCTTTCAACCAACTCATGCCAAGTCGTTCTATCCTTCGCCATTGCATGGAGCTCTCACCATGTCCTCCCAATCTTTCTAACCTCATTCTCCAGCTCTCTTCTCCATGTGTTTTTTTGGCCTTCCTTTATTCCTATGCCCCTGTGGGTTCCAATGCAAAGACATTCTAGTTATGCTGTTCTCCTGTTTTCTCAGTGTGTGCCCTATCCAACGCCAGCGTCTTTTCCTCACCTCCTGATCCACTGAAGCCTGTTTAGTTCTCTCCCAAAGTTCTACATTAGTTATTCTATCATACCATTTTATTCCCTCTATTCTGCGCAGGCACCAGTTAATGAATGTCTGTAATTTATTAGTAATTGCCTTGGTTGTTCTCCGTGTTTCCGCTCCATACAATAGTACTGATTTGACATTAGAATTAAACATTTTTAGTTTAGTATTTCTTTTCATTTCTTTTGACCTCCACAAATTCCCTAGTGCTATGAAAGCCCCTCTTGCCTTTTGTATTCTTATTTTAATATCTCTATCAGTTCCTCCATCCTCTACCAATTAGTCACTTTTTACGACCCTGACCCCCCCCCCCCCCCCCCCCAAATAGGTCCGGAACCTATAAAGGGAAGATGGGCTATTAGAATGATCATCTTCATGTTTATGTTTATTAGACGGATCAACATCATGGCACAAGGGTGGTCACTCATAAGGGCTCTGTACTACTTTCAACTCAAGCCTGAGTCTGAAGAATCTCAGTGCAGTGCATGAACTCCGTAGCACTGGCAAGGATCCTGAAATACTTTGGAAATCGAAAGAAGTAGCCTAACGGTGGTGTCCGGGCAAATTTTGGAGTTAAAAATCTACCCAAAGTATTTCAGGATCCTTGCCGGTGCAACAGGGTTCGCGCACTGACTGAGATTCTTCACTCAGGCTTGAGTTAGAAGTAGAACGGAGCACTTATGGGTTACACCCGTGTGCCATGATGTTGATCCGTCGAATTAACATAAACATAGATTGAATTTGTGGGTGCTATGTACTATTTTTTAAGCCGTTTGAAAAAAAGTACTGTTGAAAAAATACAAATTCGATTTACGACCTAGGTCTAATTATACACATAAAGATTGAATTTGTGTGTATTATGTACTATTTTATAAGCCGTTTGAATAAAAGTACTGTTGAAAAAATACACATCTGACTTACGACCAGCCTTTTAGTCGGAACGGAAATCGGTCGTATGTTGAGGAGACCTTGTACTTGGGTTTTTCTCTAATAAATGTATCTTTTACTAAGCAACCATTCATGATTTCTTGTTCTTTTACTAAACTTTGCTGCTCTAGTCCACCCTTCAAAGCTTCAAACACCAATGGTGATTCCGCATCCTCATTTGTCAGTTGATTTTTTTTAAATCCGAAATCCATGCAGAAAAACAAAAATGAAGGAACTGGATTATTTATGCTCGGACTGTTTTTTTATGTTGAGCTGTTTTTGTTAAGAGACTTCAACCTTCACCATGTGTGTTCCAGGGCTCCGTTCTGGAGAATAAGGAACAGAACCACTGTAACCTTATCAAGCATGTCCTAGGAGGTAACTAACTACAGGTGTTTCCTTCAAGGTCAGAGTGCATCTGCCTGAGAGACAAGGAACCAATAGTCTGCATACAAATAAGCCAGATCTGTAAAACATATGTGCAGGCAGAACTCAAGTTCTGAATCAAGATTAAAAGAACAACCAGAACTTCTGCCAGAGTTTACAGCCAGTGAATGAGAACAAGATGACGATGGCAAGAGAAAACACAAACTTACACATCAGTGGACTGCTCCAAGCTGCCAGCTAGGCCATCAGTTGTGTGTTGCCAGTTATTCACAACAAGCACAAACAGGCAGTTCTCATCCTTCATGACAGAAGAGTTCAGAAAAGAAAGTTTTGTGAGCTGCAGAATACAATCTGCAGAGGTTGTACAATACAAGCTGCAGAATACAATCAGCAGGGGCTGTAGAATAGTCTACAGGGGTTGTAGAATAAAATCTACAGGGGTTGTAGAATAGTCTACAGGGGTTGTAGAATACAATCTACATGGGTTGTAGAATAGTCTACAGGGGTTGTAGAATACAATCTACGGGGGTTGTAGAATAGTCTACAGGGGTTGTAGAATACAATCTACAGGGGTTGTAGAATAGTCTACAGGGGTTGTAGAATACAATCTACAGGGGTTGTAGAATAGTCTACAGGGGTTGTAGAATACAATCTACAGGGGTTGTAGCAGAATACAATCAACAGGGGCTGCAGAATACAATCTACAGGGGCTGTAGAATAGTCAACAGGGGCTGCAGAATACAATCTACAGGGGCTGTAGAATAGTCAACAGGGGCTGCAGAATACAATCTACAGGGGTTGTAGAATAGTCTACAGGGGTTGTAGAATACAATCTACAGGGGCTGTAGAATAGTCAACAGGGGCTGCAGAATACAATCTACAGGGGTTGTAGAATACAATCTACAGGGGTTGTAGAATACAATCTACAGGGGCTGTAGAATAGTCAACAGAGGCTGCAGAATACAATCTACAGGGGCTGTAGAATAGTCAACAGGGGCTGCAGAATACAATCTACAGGGGCTGTAGAATAGTCTACAGGGGGTGCAGAATACGATCTACAGGGGCTGTAGAATACAATCTACAGGGGCTGTAGAATACAATCTACAGGGGTTGTAGAATACAATCTACAGGGGCTGCAGAATACAATCTACAGGGGCTGCAGAATACAATCTACAGGGGCTGTAGAATAGTCTACAGGGGGTGCAGAATACAATCTACAGGGGTTGTAGAATACAATCTACAGGGGTTGTAGAATACAATCTACAGGAATTGTAGAATACAATCTACAGGAATTGTAGAATACAATCTACAGGAATTGTAGAATACAATCTACAGGGGTTGTAGAATACAAACTACAGGGGTTGTAGAATACAATCTACAGGGGTTGTAGAATAGTCAACAGGGGGTGCTGAATACAATCTTCAGGGGCTGTAGAATACAATCTACAGGGGCTGCAGAATACAATCTACAGGGGCTGCAGAATACAATCTACAGGGGCTGCAGAATACAATCTACAAGGGCTGCGACTAAAGCACTTGATTCTGTCAAAATATGGATGAACACTTTCATTTATCAGATGTCAAAAATAATCTTTTAGAACTCTGATTATGCAATGGAGCAATTCAAAAATATACATCGAAGGTATCAATTAGTGCAAGTTTAACTCTTTGAGTCCCAAGGAACGCATCATACGTTTATAGATTCCTACCTAGAGGCCAAATGAACGCATGATGCGCCAATTTTACGTCACTTTTGACTACCCCTTGGACCTGTGATGCTAAACCCCCTGGGACTCAAAGAGTTAATCTAAAAAATTCTTAAACATTTTCAACCCCGGGTTTCACAGAAAATGACTAAAAACCACTACAATAAAACTTGAAAAAGTTCTTCTTTTCTCTTCCACTACTTACCTCAGCGAGGTGTTGGGGGAGGGGAAGGGGTGTCAGATATGCCTCTCAAGCTTTGCTGTGCCAACCTTTATTCCTAATTCTCATAATCTTAGCAGTGATTTGGACATGCTGCTTCAAAAATCCTCAGATTGTCCTATCACTTCAAGGGCATTAACAATACTAGCACGACCCATAGGCTGGTGATCTGCACCTAAGGCAGAACAGCTAGTCTATCAGCTCTTTCCCTGCAAACAACACCTGCATTTCCGGGGATAAAGATGAAGGTAAGTGCACACACAAGGGGTTTCATGACTATCAGTTCACTGTCCGTGCATGCAGCCTGCCTTGAGCTGTCGGATCATGCTCATAGAATCATTTAAGAACTAACTCTTCTTCTTCTTTCCTCTACTTCTGGAATGCCTAGTGGCATCATGGCAAGAAGAGATTTCTAGAACAGTCCCTTCTGTTCGCTTCATATACAGTACTTTCAGTGTCTGATCTTTCTGCTGCCCATTTTATCCATGGATGCTAGCCTCTAACCTGGGTCAGTTTCGGACCTCCTAGAGTGGGCGTTGTGTTAAACTTGTGTGATAGTCTAGTTCAAGTGTGATAGTCTAGTTCAATTGTGAAAGTCTAGTTCAAGTATGACCTTCTAGGAGGTTTGAAAACACTGTGACTGGTTTAGCAAACTGACAGTTTTTTGTGTGTGTCTAGTGCTCATAGAAAATTAGAGACTAAATATACACTAGAAATGACCCCCCCCCCCCCCCCCCAACCCCAATAAGCCAGATTTCTTCAGTGGGTTTTGACTAAATATAAACATATTATTGGATGAGATTTACAGACACAGTCAGTGGTACAGTCCAGTGAACTTGGCAGTGAATGAGTTAACAGCAATTAAGTGTACAGAGTTCTAAGTGTATAGAGTTCTAAGTGTACAGAGTTTGTACACAGTTCTAAGTGTACAGAGTTCTAAGTGTGCAGAGTTCCAAGTGTGCAGAGTTCTAAGTGTACAGAGTTCTAAGTGTACAGAGTTCAAAGTGTACAGAGTTTAGTGTACAGAGAGCTCTAAGTGTACAGAGTTCTGAGAGCACAGTAAGTTTTGTAAATATTGTCTAGATTTGTAAAAAAAAAAAAAAAAAAAAAAAGAATAAAAGCCTAACCTGTGTTGTGATGATGTCAAAGGTGTATGCAAGAATTCTGATTGTTGTACCATGTTTTAACTCAACTGGTTGTCTGTGAGGATTCCTGAAAAATACAAAAAGTTTACAGTGGAACCTCGCTTAACGAGCATAATTCGTTCCAGAATCATACTCGTTAAGCGAAACACTCGTTATGGGAAACAATTTTTCTCATGTAAATTAATGTAAAATACGATAATGCGTTCCATGTCCAAAAAAACAACTCACAAAATGCTATGTTGAACGTTTATTCAAAGAAAATTATATACATATTATTAAGGAGAGTGAATCATCTTCATCTTTTCTTCAAACGCGGAACGAACCCACCTGGAATACGAATTTGATTTGCAGAAAAAAAAAATTGAAATAATTATGATTCATAGCTAATTATTTTTTTTACTAGAAAGATCTCCAGGGAAATTTGTTTTAGCCAACGCTTCAAAATCTGGCGAAAATGCAACACAACATTATCATTAAATAAATTTGCAACGCGCATAACCACTTCCTTATTAGGGTGATGCTTCTCAATGTAAGATGCCACAGTTTGCCATGCTTTCAGCATTTCTCTTATTTCGCCAGAAGATTGTTGCTTTTCTGTTACCTCCTGCTCCTCTGACAAACTTTCCCCCAAAACTTCTTGCTGTGAAACACAGTGCAACTCCATAAGCTCTTCGGTGGTCAGCTCTTGGCTGAGCTCTTCCACAAGCTCTTCGATATCACTGTTATCCACCTCCAATCCCATGATAGTGGCCAAAGACACAATCTCGTTGACTACAGGTTCCACATGTACTCTACTGAACCCCTCAAAGTCACAAATCGACAATGTTCTCGGGCTAAAGCTTCTTTCAAGCAGAAGTTAGGGTTTCCTTGCCAACCCCTTTCCTCGCCTTGTCGATCATCTTGAGGCAGGCAACGATGTGGAAGTGATTTTTCCAAAACTCTTTGAGAGTGAAGTTGGTCCCTTAAAGTTAGCTTCTTAAAGTTAGAAATAACTTGCTGGTCCACGGGCTGGAGTAAGGGAGTGGTGTTGGGAGGCAGAAACTGGATCTTGATGAACTTAAAGTCTTCAGAGAGATCATCTTGTAGGCCTGGAGGATTCATGTACATATATCACAATATAACACAAGTTTGAGAAAATGTGTGATCACAAGCGACACTACGATGCTACTGGAACGAGTGCTAAACACAGACTGATGTAACATGCGCACAATTCTGGACTTCCCCTCTCCTCGCCACTCGTTATGCAAAACGTCGCTTGTTAAGCAAGTCATTTCTTTACATTTTATTTTGCTCGTTATGCGAATTACTCGTTATGAGAGGTGCTCGTTAAGCGAGGTTCTACTGTATCAGAAAAATCATCATCATCCTGTAGCAGGTCCTTTGCAGAACGTCGCTCTCATCACAGTCTGCCTGAAAGAAACTCGGTCTCTCGCCAATTCTTCCGCCTCATGAACTTTTATACTCAAGGAGTCCCTTATATCATGTGCCCATCTTCGTGTCGGTCGGCCCCTGTCCCTCCTTCCTGGTACCATGCCTTCTGCTATAATATTTTCCAATCCGTCGTGCAGCTTGATATGACCAAAATATTTCAGCTTCCGAGAAAGGATGCTATTTATTAGTCGATCTTCCTTGATGATCAGATCTTTTAAGATGTCAATATTTCTCCTCTTCTTTGTCCAAGATATATGTTTTTATAGAATTTCAGCTCAAAAGCCCCTATTCTCTTTCTTAAGGACTGAGAGAGTCCATGACTCACATCCGTATGTAGCCATAAAGAAGGTGCATGCTCTTGAAATTTGAATTTTTATCTCTTTGCTGGTGCTTAACCATAGACTTTTAAGGCTGTTCAATCTTTGAACATCAGAAAAATACACACAATAAATAAGAAAATACTTATAACACATTCAAATTTTTTATTTTTTTAAAGTCAAGGTCCCTTTTCCATGCCTTTAGGCATATAGGGCTAGACCTAAATTTTTACAGACCAATCAGCTGGCCACCTTTACTTCCCCGGACTGCACCCGGTACCCACTGAAGGCTGGGTCAACCTGGGAGTCAAGGTCATTTTTTTTTAAAAAGTCGAGCTCCACCAGGGAGCAAACCCACGACCTTCCGATCCACACGTGATCGCCTTGCCGCTATGCCACAGCGACTCCCACATTCTAATTACATTATAAGAAAATCTTTTTTATTTTATTTTTTAAATTATATTTTTTCCGGGTAATAAATAAGTCAGAGTGCAAAAGAAAGAAAGAAAGAAAAAGACAGAGAGAGTAATAATTAGAAAAAATAAATGCATTTATTCCTTCTCTAATTTGTCTACATACCATTCAAGTGTACTTCTGGGAGCAGAGGCAAAAACAGCCAGAATTTTGTTGTGACCATCTTCAAGCAAACATTCTCCATCCTGTAGATCAATGGAAATGGGATAACACTAAGCATCTTCATTTTATGCCTTTGCGCTTAAGAAGGCATTTAGCACATTGTGTTGCGGTTTACAGTTAGGCTGTGATATTTGGGCAAAACACATTCAATTTTGGAAAACCCCTAATATGTCATGTAGGACCCGTTTGTTAAGGGGAGGTATTAATACGTATTTTTTACAAGTAAGTAAAGTTAAGGACCTTTTCCATGCCCTCAGGTGTATTGGGCACAGCCCTATATTTTATAGACTAATCGGCACTCGGTGGGTGATGTGGTTAACTTCACGCAGATTTGTATAAGTTTTATAGAATACCGGGAGTTGCCGTGGCAGAGCGGCTAGACGCGCTCTGTGGATCGGTAGGTCGTGAGTTCGCTCCATGGCAGAGCCGGACTTTTCTTCAAAAATGACCTTGGCTCCCAGGTCGACCCAGCCTTGAGTGGGTACCAGGTGCAGTCCCAGGAAGTAAAGGTGGCCGGTGTGATGCTGACCACATCATTCATCTTGTGCCATTGGTCTATAAAATATAGGTCTAGCCCTATACGCCTAAAGGTATGGAAAAAGGTCCTTTACTTTTTTTCCTTTTTTTTATAGAATACCGAAGAGAAAAATATACTAGACAAACAAACAAACACAAACATAATAAAAGCTTACAAAAATATGATTAACTCGTTCAGTACGAAACAATTCACCATGCCTTTAATAGTTTTCACTGACATTATATACTCTTCTGAACTCCCTATGGGCTGTTTAGTTGTTATATACAGTCATTCTGCCTTACATCTCACTGGAAACTTATTTGTCCCATAGTGTTCTCATTTCACCTCCTTAGACCCAAACTAATACTTAAAGTCCTTATGTTTTAGAAAAGAATGAGCGGAGTTACCTCGAGAACCAACATGACAGCACTTGGGACACTCATACACCCTGTGTCCTTATCTTCAGCAGCCAGGGAAGAGTTCTACTTTCAGTGGTACCAGTATCAATCTGTTTATATGTCCACCTGACTTTTTCCTCTGAGCGCAGAGTGTCTGTGATATCCTCTGGTCACTCCATGTTGCACCATTCTCTGCACGCCATTACGATCTAGTCGCACTTCTGCACTGTTTATTTGCTTCCAAAAGGTTTTAACAATGTGTAGCTCAGTGGTTTACAACCTTTTTGAGCCGGTGCCCCCTTAAAATTATGGTATGCCAAGGGCCCCCACTTTCTCCGTTTTAAATAAATGGGATTTAAAAAAATGACAAAAAGAAACATGCCAAGAGCTGTTAATAAGAACTTACCAGAAAAACATCTACATAAATAAAATTGTAAAATAACATAGCAGTCACCAACAACTGATAATTTTTGTCCAAATATTGACATGTTATCCTATTAATTAGATATATTTGTTAGATGTGCAAACTGCTCATGGAAACAAAAACATCCTTACCTTTTTTGTTTTATAAATAGTTTTTTTTTTATATTTTGTTTAAGATTAAACTGGGGAGGAAATGTTAGTGTGAAAGATCATTACCTCCTAACTTAGTCAATTCTTTACCCCCCTGGGGTGTAGATGTATAACAGATTATAACTTTCTTTCTTAGTCAATTCTTTTCTAACCTGGAGTGTAGATTATTACTTCCTAACTTAGTCAATTCTCTTCTACTCTGGGGCGTAGATGTATAACAGATTAATACTTCCTAACTTAGTCAATTCTTTACTACCCTGGGGTGTAGATGTATAACAGATTATAACTTTCTTTCTTAGTCAATTCTCTTCTACCCTGGAGTGTAGATGTATAAGAGATTATTACTTCCTAACTTAGTCAATTCTCTTCTACCCTGGGGCATAGATGTATAACAGATTATTACTTCCTAACTTAGTCAATTCTCTTCTACCCTGGGGCGTAGATGTATAACAGATTATTACTTCCTAACTTAGTCAATTCTCTTCTACCCTGGGGCGAATATGTATAAGAGATTATTACTTCCTAACTTAGTCAATTCTCTTCTACCCTGGGGTGTAGATGTATAACAGATTATTACTTCCTAACTTAGTTAATTATCTTCTACCCTGGGGCGTAGATGTATAACAGATTATTACTTCCTAACTTAGTCAATTATCTTCTACCCCTGGCGTGTAGATGTATAACAGATTATTTCAACTACAAATGCATCTTGATATTTTAATGAGTCATTTTCTCCCTGATAATTTATGTGTAAACTGATAATGAGGTTAGATACCGAACATAAATTATGTACCTAAGTAGTGGTGAATAAAATTGATGAAGTGTGTTGCAAAAAAAAAAATATGAGCCAAAAAGGGTGGATATTTTCAACCATCCTAAGTGAGAGAAAGCATGGATTACATGCCTAAATGAAGTGAATCACGTGGGGGTGAAAGATTATTTACTGCTTGAAATGATCGAGAAAAATCAGTCTTGTTTTGAGATGCAGGAACAGTATGTTTGACGGTGGAGAAAGTGCTTGTTGAGTGAATCAAGTTACAAGTGGATGACTGAACTAGATTTCGCTGCGAGTTTTGAGACAAAACCTGACTACCCTTTTGCTCTGACAATTCTGGTCAAGGCTGGACGTTTGTGTTTGTTCAGCGTGGAAGACTGACCTTGTCAAACTGTCACCGTGGGACTGTTCCTGTGCATTTTCTTTATGAAGCTAATTTTTCACTGATGTGTACATTTTGCTATCAGTTGTAGAGTTGCGGTCCCTCGACCAGCACCTCAGTGTTCACTGGTTCGAAGACAGCAGTTTGAACAAATAAATATTGATATCAGTTGTGTGTCCATCTTGTTCATTGATTCAATATGTTGAAGCATAAGTCGCGTACGTCTAAGTTGAGCTGAGTTGAGTTGATTCAAGAACTGACATCACAGCATTCCCATAAGCGCTCTGTCCTCACCTTCAACGCCAGCAAAGAGTTCCGATACTAATGGTGCCAGTAGCATTCTGATTAAACATCCATCTTTCCTTTCCTCTGCGTACATCTGAGAAGTCTGTGAATGACTGGAGCCAAGGGAATGAGTACAAAGAGAGTCGTTGCAATGTATTTAGGAAAGAATGAGTTAAAAGCTTCTTAACATAAACATTAAATGGACTACACATGTAATACTGTTTTCTTAGAAACACTTCATTATCGGACTTAACCAAAATACCTCTGTGATGATAACTCTGGCCAAATGTGTACTTCCTTTAAAGCTGTGAGTGTATGACTGAGATGGAAACTTCAACAGATCATTGGCAATCCAAGGCTTAGGCTTGTTCTTATTTTCCTGTGCCATGGTGCTGAAAAAAATGTATACAAGTAAGTGGTTTCGGAAATTATGGGGAGAAATCTGGTCACGGTTTCTCAGCGTGAGTAAATAGGGCGGTTGCAGCAGAGTAAAACAGAAGTGGATCAGGTAAGGAGGCAAGTACCAGAGGAAGAGAACAATATCTGTATAATTAGTCTCCTATGGGAACAGTTAGCATCTACACCTTAACTCTTTGAGTCCCAAGAAACGCATCATACGTTCATAGGTTCCTATATAGAAGCCCAATGACCGCAAGATACGCTGATTTTACATCTTTTTTGACTACCCTGTGGGTCTCTGATGCTAAACATTTCCCTTGGGACTCAAAGAGTTAAGACATGTGCTGCAGGACAGTGAGTATTCATAAGTATGGCAGGTGTGCTGTTATGTTAATTCTTAAATCAATAATCATCTCTGTGTGGGTTCCAGAGCACCCTTGTAGGGAGGGGACAGACCCACTGCCTTCCTTTTAAAGTGGGAGTGCACCTGCCTGAGAGACTAGAAACCAAGAGTCTGCACACAAATGAGTCAGATCTGTAAAATGGATGTGCATGCAAAACTCAAGTTCTGGAACATTACACAAGTCTGGAGGTGGATGAACACCAACAACTTAACCCCAGAATTTACAGGTGCGCAACAACACACGTGGCGTCCAGTTTTACTACCAAGAGAGCATGGGGAAATTACTAGAAATCTAAAAAAGCAGGTCTCTAAGGAATCACATATGGTCTCTACAATACTGCCCAGACTTTCTGCTATAGAAATAGGGGGGAACGTCATCCAAGGTCTTTACTCTTTGAGTCCCAAGGAACGCATCATACGTAGAAGCCCAATGAACGTATGATGCGCCGATTTTACGCCTCTCTTGACTACCCCTTGGGCCTATGATGCTAAACCCTCTGGGACTCAAAGAGTTAACTGGAGAACATGAATGCAGACAATAAGTAACAGCTGAAGATCTGAGAACAAACATGTCAAATACATGCGATAGTATGGATTGTCCTGAAGGCATCTGCATTTACTCTGCCAGATTCGTCTGCACGCTAGCGGGTCTTGCTAGTGACATTCACTATTGTCATGGAAGGTGATTCCCATCCACTCTCCCCCTTTGGTACAACGGATCACTAGTGAAAGACGGAAAGCAACAACACAACAACAATCTGGGCACAAACAAATCACAGGACTCACTTCAGTGACGAATGATGAAAGTCTAGTCTTTCAGCTAATTTGAATGATTATTTAGAAACACGTAGTTAATGGCAACTAATGATGATTACTTTGACTTCTACAGCAATGGACATGGGGTAAAACTGAAGGAGAGCCCTGTAGGTGCGACCCAGCCCGTGAGGTCCCTGACTGCTGGAGTTCAACACAACACAACACTGGAAAACATGGCAAGCAGTGTTGCCACTTTTCTTTGACAAAAACACATCCAAAACAGAGTCAACAAATATTTAAAAACATCTAAATTTGCGTTGAAAACATGTAGAAAAACATCCAAATGGAAAGTCACAAATTACAGCAAATGAAATGACGTACCCTATAGAATCATGTCCTCATCTTTACTGAAGTCTGCCTTACAAGATCCACAGGATAAACTTAGCTTGGATAATGAAGTAGAAGCTTCAGATCCAAAATGACTCTGGTATGCTTTAGCATATGTTGTGACCACTGGAAAGATCTGTGGAAGGAGGGATAGAGGAAGACAACGAGAGAAGATGCTTGACAGTCTTGTTGCATGGCATGGAGGTGTGTCGGCACACGAACTGATACATGCTGCAGGAGATCGCGGATTATGGAGAGGCATGATCGCCCACGCCAGTCGGCAAGGCACCTGATGATGATGATGATGCTTTAGCTATTCCAATTTCTTTTAATACCCAATCAGGGAGCTGATAAGTGGAACAGCCTTTTCCTACTCTTATCAGGCAGAATTTTATTGTCAAGATAGCACTTAAGAGGTCAAATTTCATCCTGTTTCTTAGGTTAGATTTGATAAATTCACTCCAAATGAAAAACTTCTAGAAAAACATCTACCATCTAAACGTCAAGAACGCCATCTAAATGCAAAAGAAAACATGTAAATCTGGATGTAAAACATTCAAAGTGGCAACACTGCGGACAACTCTCTTGGTTTTACCGCGAATTCCAGAAAAATTTGACTAAAAAGCTCAACAAAATGGGAAAAAGGAAAACGTGCACAAAACAACACAACGTAACGTTTCGGCCAGGCAGCCTTTTTCAAACACAAGTGGACTACACAAAAGAGGAATGGAGAGTATGTAGATCTCTAAGGGGTGACGTGAGCGACATTTTAAAAAATGTGATGCGGAATAAATGAAATAAAATAAAATAAACGATGGCTAAAAAATATAGTCACAATACTGGGAATAAAAGAAATGCAAGTGTTAATGATACATAAATGATATTGATAAGAAATAGAATATGGTAATAATATGAAATAAAATAAAATAATTAACATTTAAAATGTAATAAGATTAGAACTATTTAGATGAAGGTATGTTGGATATTGATACCTCTTGGACTAAGAACGCCAAGGCTGTGGATAAGGCGATTTTCCAAAGCGAGGCGGGTAGTATGATCGCCAGAGCAAGATTTTAATGCTGTGACAGATATGTCATCTTTACCGCTGTGGTCAGGGCTATTAAAATGAAGAGGGATTGGTTTGAGTGTCTTCTTGTCGATATCAGAGAGGTGTTCCCGGAAACGATCAGCTAGCTTCCTGCCAGTCTCCCCAATGTATGCCATGCTGCATCGTTTGCAGATAATTGCATAAATTACGTTGCGGGATTCGCAAGTAAAAGGTTCCCTAATTTGAAAAGAACCATTAGGGAAACTGACCGAAGAAGTCTGGACAACGAAAGGACATGTTTTGCAGGTGCTGCGTGAGCACTGAGTAGTCCCAAGAGGAAGTGCTGTATGGATCGGTGGGAGTCGGCTTCGGACAAGTATGTCTTTAAGGTTGCGATCTCGTCTGTAAACTAATCTAGGTTTCTCACTAAAGATAATCTTGGTGTCCGGATCAGAGCGGAGGATGTCCAAATGACGAAAGAATACTTTGGAAGCAACCACATTGTTAGGGTGAAAAGTCAAGATCAATTTAGGTCCCTCATTGGTGGAGTTACGTTTGGTAGGAAAAGCATCTCTCCTGGTGATTGCTAAAACTTTGTTTAGAGCCCCTTGTAGAATGTGTTCCGGATAGAAACGGGCACGGAAGAATTCAAGAAGTTCAACTAATTTATCAAAGAAGTCAGAATCGTCAGAGCACAACCTGCGCAATCGAAGGAGCTGTGAATATGGAATAGAATTTTTACACGGTAGTGGGTGAGAAGACGTATAGAGGAGATAACTGTGAGAATCCGTGGGTTTGTAGTAGGCTGTGGTTTTCAGACACGGGAAATCGATGCTAATCGTGATGTCAAGAAAGTTAACTGAAGTGGTGGAGATCAGTGAGGTGAATTTGATAGCCGGATTGAAATTGTTGATGTAAGTAATAAATTGGTCAAGCTCAACCATGGACATTTCGGTGATACCAACGCCATCATCTATGTATCTCCTATACACCTCCGGAAACTTGCCCGGGTATGATAAACTGACCTCGTATTCCAGGTGGCCCATAAAGAGGCACGCGTAACTAGGACCCATCTTGGTGCCCATAGACGTATGCTCCCTCTATACGTCTATCCCTCACTGTGATGGTCTTAGAGCACTCCAGTTCTTTTTGGACAGAAGGTCCAACCCGATCATCCCTACTTCAGTTCTTGTACGCCTTGCCGAACTGGTACTGACCCTCAACTCTTTTGAGTTTAATGGTGAGTATTTTGACCATATCAGTGGGGTTGCGATGGGCACCAAGATGGGTCCTAGTTACGCGTGCCTCTTTATGGGCCACCTGGAATACGAGGTCAGTTTATCATACCCGGGCAAGTTTCCGGAGGTGTATAGGAGATACATAGATGATGGCGTTGGTATCACCGAAATGTCCATGGTTGAGCTTGACCAATTTATTACTTACATCAACAATTTCAATCCGGCTATCAAATTCACCTCACTGATCTCCACCACTTCAGTTAACTTTCTTGACATCACGATTAGCATCGATTTCCCGTGTCTGAAAACCACAGCCTACTACAAACCCACGGATTCTCACAGTTATCTCCTCTATACGTCTTCTCACCCACTACCGTGTAAAAATTCTATTCCATATTCACAGCTCCTTCGATTGCGCAGGTTGTGCTCTGACGATTCTGACTTCTTTGATAAATCAGTTGAACTTCTTGAATTCTTCCGTGCCCGTTTCTATCCGGAACACATTCTACAAGGGGCTCTAAACAAAGTTTTAGCAATCACCAGGAGAGATGCTTTTCCTACCAAACGTAACTCCACCAATGAGGGACCTAAATTGATCTTGACTTTTCACCCTAACAATGTGGTTGCTTCCAAAGTATTCTTTCGTCATTTGGACATCCTCCGCTCTGATCCGGACACCAAGATTATCTTTAGTGAGAAACCTAGATTAGTTTACAGACGAGATCGCAACCTTAAAGACATACTTGTCCGAAGCCGACTCCCACCGATCCATACAGCACTTCCTCTTGGGACTACTCAGTGCTCACGCAGCACCTGCAAAACATGTCCTTTCGTTGTCCAGACTTCTTCGGTCAGTTTCCCTAATGGTTCTTTTCAAATTAGGGAACCTTTTACTTGCGAATCCCGCAACGTAATTTATGCAATTATCTGCAAACGATGCAGCATGGCATACATTGGGGAGACTGGCAGGAAGCTAGCTGATCGTTTCCGGGAACACCTCTCTGATATCGACAAGAAGACACTCAAACCAATCCCTCTTCATTTTAATAGCCCTGACCACAGCGGTAAAGATGACATATCTGTCACAGCATTAAAATCTTGCTCTGGCGATCATACTACCCGCCTCGCTTTGGAAAATCGCCTTATCCACAGCCTTGGCGTTCTTAGTCCAAGAGGTATCAATATCCAACATACCTTCATCTAAATAGTTCTAATCTTATTACATTTTAAATGTTAATTATTTTATTTTATTTCATATTATTACCATATTCTATTTCTTATCAATATCATTTATGTATCATTAACACTTGCATTTCTTTTATTCCCAGTATTGTGACTATATTTTTTAGCCATCGTTTATTTTATTTTATTTCATTTATTCCGCATCACATTTTTTAAAATGTCGCTCACGTCACCCCTTAGAGATCTACATACTCTCCATTCCTCTTTTGTGTAGTCCACTTGTGTTTGAAAAAGGCTGCCTGGCCGAAACGTTACGTTGTGTTGTTTTGTGCACGTTTTCCTTTTTCCCATTTTGTTGAGCTTTTTAGTCAAATTTTTCTGGAATTCATTGTATTAGCTTGACTGCAGTCACCCCCATAGTTTTACCATTTTTGGTTTTACCGCCCACGGTTGTCTCTCTGTGTTCATTAAAACTCTAGGTAAAGTAAAGGACCCTTTCCTACGCCTTCAGGTGTATTGGGCATATAGGGCTAGGCCTATATTTTATAGACTAATCGGCCCTCGGTGGGTGATGTGGTCAACATCCCGCCGACCGCCTTTATTTCCCAGGACCTCACCTCGTACCCATTTAATGTCGCCCCGGGAGCCAGTCATTTTTGGGGACAGTCTGGCTCTCTTCGGATTTGAACCCACAACGGTCTGATACGCATTCGAGCGTCTAGCCACTATACCACGGCGGTTTCCGGAGTTGGAGAAAAGGCCACAGTGTTCCCTTATTTCGCGAAGAAAAAACTCCCAGCTGTACTATCATGTGATTATCATGGCCACAGCCGCTGCCCATGTCATTTGTTATATCAGAACTTCTGTCGCTGAGGGAAGCTGTATCTGTCTCACGTCTCGGAGGTTACAGGGTTCAAAACCCAGCACAGGACTGTGAATATTTATAAGTACAAGAACCGTTGATTTTAAAGACTTCACCATAATCTCACTGGTAGTGAGATCGATACCAAGAAGAAGAATAAGACGATCTAAGGAAATGGCGGAGCTAATATACTGCTCCCTTGGACACTAATTATGAGCTAACGGATGATGACTGACTGACTTTCTACCCCACTAGGACATCACACAAGCGATAAACACCCGATGACACAAAGTGCCACCATGCGGATGAGGATCGCCGTGGAGAGGTCCCAGAAACCGCGTTCAGACATTTGGCCATATGTATGGCCTGCCTATATTGCGGCCCCTGGCAAAAGCCAGAGTAGGGCTTCAAATGACAAAAAATTTCGTCCTGAAAAGGACGAAACTGGGTATAATAACGGATGATGAACGGGGAATCTCAATACGCCTCACTCATGGCAGTTTGGAATATGTTAACATAAACGCTGAATTATCAACTGAATTAAAACGTTTATTGTCTGAATTGTATGTGAAAGGATACAGATCCGCATATGGATGTGCCCAGATGCACGGACGTCAGGCGGTTAATCTATTGTGGTCCTGTTCTTCTCTTATTTTTAAAATGTTAATTAGTTATTATTGAACGATTGTGTGTTTGTGAGAGTTGAGATCGCGACCAATCTGGTACTCAAGGGGAGATCAGCTACTAAGGGGATATTTTTTAAATCGGTGATCGGACTTTATTGCACCTTTATTGTTTTATCATACATTGCTCTCTCTCTCTCTCTCTCTCTCTCTCTCTCTCTCTCTCTCTCTCTCTCTCTCTCTCTCCGTAGAACGTGTAGTCACAAAGCATGAACTTAGTAGCATCAGCAACGATCCCTATGGATCTTCGTAAAAGTTGCACCTTAAAAAAAAGTTTGGCTCTTCTCCAAACTTCGACCCGATATTATGGCGGCCATAAAATATTCTTACGGGCTCAGTTCTATTAAAAATATGCCGGCTCCGTGTAACGAAACAAATGCTCTAACAGGGTCTCAGTGATATGTTACTTGCGGACCTGTTTCTGTCACTGTGCCTCACCGCCGACCGTATCGTAGCGGGACGGATGGGGACTAAACTAGATGGCTGGGACTCACGAGCAGCAGCTACCGCTTCTCCTGCAACTTCCTCCAATTAATTTGATTCCTCAAAATTTGCATTTGCAAATCATGGAAACCCCGTTCAAATGTATAGCCAGACTGCACGGTTTTCGTGGGGCACCATGCAATGGTTGCGAAGTAACCTTTCATCCAGCGGAAGTCATAGCTGTGACTTTTCCATGCACTTAAGTGCCAATTCAAACGATGCTGTCTTCTTCAGCATTCCAAGTTCTTGAGGTTCATTCCTGAAGAAACCACTCGCCTCCATTCATCTCTCTGGTTAGCCTTCTCTTTCCAGTTGGTGACACCAGGCGTTAGCAAGTCTGCCTACACATTTCTCTCCATCATCTTCTTTGTCTGCCTCATGGTCTACGACCATTCATCTCCCATATTTTATCTACAGTGATACAGAAATCTTCTTCAGGGATTAAAATTTTACAAAGATCAGTCAATGTTTTCTTTATATCTGTTTGGTTTTCAATATCTGTCTGGTTCGTTTACTGCAAATATCGGTCGAAAAGTTGAACGGTGGATAAATATGCTAAACACTTTTGAAATGATATGATTAAAGCCGGTTTTTTTTTTCTTCAAGAAAACAATGTACTGTAGTAAGGTGCCGGTGCTCAGCACAATGTGTCTATTACATAAACACTGGGGAAAAATTATGCCCGAAAAAGGTGTCGGTATTGTGTACCAGCGTCTGTGGCTTAGGGGCTGTGAAGGCATTTCCTAATGGCCGAATGCTGGGTTAGATCCCAGCTGCGGACGGTTTGTCGTCGTTAGTTTTGACAGTGGTACCAAGAGCTGACCGTTTAGAAAGCACTGAATGTAAAAATTTGCCTAAGCCAGAAAGAAAAAAAAACTGGATAAATTTATATAAATGAATATTTCTAAAGATAATTTCTAAACCGGGTTAAAGAGAGTTGAGTAGTTTCCTTACAAAATTTATATGGGAGAAGAGGGGGAGGAGGAAGAGACAGGCTTGCCTAAAAATTTTTTTGGTGGTGGATGGGTGTGGGGGGGGGGCGGGTGGGGTCGAAGTAGTGTGACCCCCTGTGAGGTAACAAACCCCCCCCCCCCCACAACCACAGAGCGCCCCCCCCCCTCTTTTTTTTTACAGTTTGAAGCTAGTGACAAACCTAAACTAAACCTCTTCTGCTGAAAACGTCACGGAAACCTGTGTACCCAGGGCTGCTATTGCGGAAGTGGAGCGAGCGACACAACTCCTGGAAAGACACTGGGAATGTAGAAGTTTGCTGTCAACCTTCGCCAATTTTCCCGCTTCCTCACTCGGAATCTGTGGACCTTTTATTTGAATTTGTATTTCCAGATGTAGCAGTCAGGTTTTAAAATGTCACGAGGTTCTAAAAGTGCTATCCGTCTGGCCAGTGGCATCGTAGAAATCAAAAGCAAGGTATGCTGAAGCTGAAGTTTTCTTGAGTTCTCTACTAAGTCAAAGCAGGACAATTTTTATTTACCTTACGTTCGAATACCGAAACGATGAAAACTGAAACTAACAGAGAAATGTGTTAACAGGGCGACGAAAATACAGTAACAGTACTATACTACAATATTCCTGTGGCACTTTCCCTTCTGCAACTCTTAACTGACTTAACACTTCTTGGCCCTATGCCCACTGACCCACTCCCTAGTCAGTCTGTCATATAAACCCCAGGCCAGGGCGACTGTGGTCACACAATTGGCGACCCTACCTTTTAGAACAAAGGGTGGCAGCGATGTGAGACAGGGAAGTAGGTGACCTGATACTTATCTGTATCAATATCAAATTTACCTGACCTTCTGCTGTTTGTTAATTATTTTGGTTTTAGTCACAGAAAATGTTAGTCTAATATACATTTTCCAATATAATCGTTGGTTGTTTTCCCTGAGGTTGGTTGTGGATTACAACAGGTAGGAATACTGATAATAATGTTTAGCAAACACCTGAGATGATGATACCTAGACCGAATACATCATGTCGGGACCTCCTGTCAAAATGGACGCTAGTCATGGTCACTGTTATGAGTTGTGGCAGATTGTGTGCCTTTGCCAGACGGTGCCCATTGCATTTTTTGCTCCACTTGTAGACTGAAAGGATATAGTTTTATCGCTCAGCTTCTGAGTTGATTTCATGGCACGACACTGTGAGCTGTGGATTTCATTTGGAATGTTTTTTTACTGTAACCAAGATGGTGGTGTGAATTGTAGATTCAGAAAGTGGCGCAATGCCTGTTGTCGCAATATTGGTTGTGCCATTATGTGATTAAAATTGATCGCATGTGCAACTGCTGATCTGTTGGTGACTTCTGCTACTGTCGAGGAGTCTGTCAATCTTTCTACAAGGGACTGTGATAAACATTCTGTGTGTTTTCATTGGCACAGGAGCGGAGCACCTTTGGGGTGACCCATTTGCTATGACGCTGAAACTAAGGTTACCAAGATTACATCTTGTCAGAAGAAATAAAAATAAGGATATGTAGGCAAAGGATTAAGTGAAGTCCTACTGTAGTTTGTGTGAAACTAAAAAGCTGGAGGTGTACCATATAGCAGATTGTAGAATTCTGTTTGTAGTCGTCAGAACCATTTCTCCTTGCTTTTCTTCTTGTTTCTGGCCCAGCGTATGGTCATGTACTAGATTATGATTAAGGACATAGGCATTGATGTAAACCTTCATTAAAAAACACACAAATACCCGTGTCACATGTAAACAGTGTCATGCAGCTAGGAAAAACAAAAGTAAAGTTCTTTGACTCTGTTTAGCATCAAAGGCCAAAGGGTGGTAAAGAGAAACGTATAATCGGAGTATCTTGTGTTCATTAGACTTTTAGGTAGGAATCTACAAACTTATGTGTTCATTTGGACTGAAAAAGTTAAGAAACCATTCGGATCTGTGGAAGATTTCTTCGAACAATACATGCTGGCACACTTTGCATAAAAAAAAAAAAAAAAAACTGGAGCTGATAAATGAACGTTCAAATGCCCAAAGAGACGTTGTAAGATATAAGGTGTGTTGTGGTTAGAGAAAACAATGGTTTTCAACATGAGACTTCAAACTCAAGTCATTTGAGGGGGATTGTTGCAAACATCAGCACTGGTCTCATATTACATACACTTTGCAGATGAATTCAGATGTCCTGAAAAGACAACTGGATGTTAAAACCCCACATGGATTGGCAAATACATGGGCATGAAATGTAGAACAGCGAACAGAGGCTGTATCATCAAAACAGAAAATCTCAGCCCCACATGTTGTTATTTAACAGCTTTGCAAAGCATGCTCAGGAAGATAGAGTCAGGTTTTTTTTCTTATGGAATTGTTTATATCAGTCCAGAGGTCGCCAGTGGTGAGAGTCACACAGATATTTTGCCCGGGACATTGAGGTGTTTTGCACTGAGCAGACAGGCTGGCTGGGCTGTCCCCACTTGAAGGTGTACTGCAACTGTACAAGGCAGAGGTGATCTCTAACCTGTGGGGCAAGGTAACCGGAAATGGAAGATACTAAAAACCCATACCTGGAGAGAATAATACAGCTGGGAGTGGCTCTAGGTGCCACTCGAGACTCAAGAGGGAAGGCAAGATGAGTAGTTAACCAGATGACAGTGACACCATCAGTATGGAAACTCTTCACTGGCTGCTGAGGAGGGAGACAGGGCTAATATGGGTTTGTTCTGAATGCTGCGATGTTGAATCTTTTTCCAGATGAACCCAAAAGTCGAAGTGGAAATTTATCTATGCCACAGGTCCAGCACACATACGGCTTAGCGTTATATTTCACAAGGGAGTTGAATGGTCATTGACCACAAGGCAGATCAAAAAGACGATGGAGAGATAAAATCCAGGCAGACCTGCAAATACTCAGTGTTTACCAACTGGTAAGAGAAAGCCAACTATAGTGAAAGCGGGTGATATCTGTAGCAGTGTACTTCAACGGCTCGGAATGCTGAAGAAGAAGAAGCCTCAGTGGAAATTGAAAAAAATAAGAAAGTTTAAAAATAATAACTTGTAATTGATAAATTTATTAGGTTAGAAAGAATCGTAGCTTTGCCTAGGTCATAATTCTCATAACACTTTTTGAACAACCAGTTTGATGCAGAGTTCAGACGGTTCTCTATTGAGAAAACCAGAATGACCCAGTTTGATGACTTCTACGTGCTGCTGGAAGAGCTCCATCACCTGGTGCATGTGCCCTTCATTATCACCTACACAGATCCAGTTCACATGGACCTCCTCCCCATCAACAACAATGAGAACTTCAACAGAGCTCTCTCAACGGCTCGACCTAGTTTAAAAGTTCTGCTTCAGCGAAAAGGTGAGTTCATATTTAAAACATTTTGTGTGTATGCCGTTTTCACTTGTGTGAACATAAATTTAAAAAAAAAGTAAATCTTTCAAAGTTAATAATCAATTAGAAGAAGAGTTCTTAAGAGCAACATTTGTAACCAGTCCTGTTGTATGGAAGGGAATCATGGACAGTCAGTGGATGAGTAGAAATTTGTTTGTAAGCTGCCAGAACCAAAATATCATTTTCCTATTTTCTAATTTTTGTAAATTAAAAAAAAAAAAAAAAGATGAGAACTCCGTTGAAAAATAAAAGCACAATAAAGATGTTTTAAAACAAATTAGCTCACTCCGAAGACTGTTTACCTTGATCAGAAGAAGGTCATCCATAATCTTTTGTCAATAAAAAAGGAAAAGTATTTTATGTTATAGGAGAAGGGAAAAAAGTTGAGATCGAGAAAGATAATGTTAGGCAGTTTGGTGTAATGTCATCAAAGGATGTTTACATAAGGTAAAATGACAGTCCTTGAAGTTGTTTATCCCCTGTTTTCTTGATTTTCCTCTGGCTCTAAATTTTTGGTGGGTTGTTTTGTTTTGTTTTCATTGTATTGTCAGTTGGTAACTAATTGGGTTTCACTCTTGAAAGATGCCAGAGCGATTCATTGTACAGGGTATCTTATAAATTTCTATACATATACAAAAATACCATGGTTTTGAAAACACATTTGATGCGTGCACTCCACCACTGAGGAGCACATTAAAGGCCAACAGTAGTTATACTTGTAATGGTATTTATGATATGCTTTTTTTTCCCCCCCTGTATATCCAAACTTATGGGACACCTTGTATTTCTTGTTTCTCAATACATTCTATTCCTCGTGTGGGTACCGGGGCCCTATTATGGGGAAAACAAGAATAGACCCATTGCCTACCCAAAAGCATGTTGTAAGAGTCGACTAATTGGGAGCTTTCTTTGAAGTGCATCTGCCTGAGAGGCAAGGAACCAACAGTCTGCACACAAATGAGATCTGTCAAACGGATGCACACGCAACATTCAGGTTCTGGAACAGGACTGCAGTCAAGAAGTGGACGAACAACCAGAACTTTCCACCAGAGTTTGCAGCTGGTGAACGCAAAGAAGAAGAAGAAGGATACATTCTATGAATGCAGTATCCTATTTCTGATGACTTTTCATGTACTGCCATTTTTTGGGAACCCCCAGCTGTGTTTTCAAGCATTTTATCAGACATTTGTCAAGTTTCTCTGTAGCTAGGGACCAAGATTGATCCAAAATCTACATGGCCTTTGTGTCTTATCACCCTTATTGCAGTAACACTCCATCAAATTCACTTTGGATCACAGCAGTTCTGTAAGTTCATTGATTTTTTTTCTGATGTAGGAGTATTTATATTAATGAAATATTTATAGTTTTATGAATGATACTAACAATCAGTTCACATTTTTTTTTCAGGTGAAAGTTATGGAGAATTAAATGGTTATGGATCACAGCCGGTTAAAAGAAGAAACCCAATTTCAAAGCTGATAAACAATGAGCCGACCCCTCGGCCACGAATTCAGATAAACTTACTAGAAGACTTCAGGCGTGTTTCGGCCATTATAGATGTGGACATTGTGCCAGAGACACATCGCAGAGTGAAGCTCATGAAAAATGGCTCTGATAAGCCGCTTGGATTTTACATCAGAGATGGTACAAGTGTCCGGGTAACTCCTCAAGGCTTGGAAAAGGTACATACCATTTGATGTGCTGTTTCTTGTATGAATTCTGTGCCTATTTGATTTGTCTTGTTATTGGTTCTGTGCCTATTTGATTTGTCTTGTTATTGGTACTGTGCACATTTGATTTGCCTTTTTATTGGTTCTGTGCACAGCTAATGACTTCAAATTGCTGTTTTTGTAGAATAACTCTAGTGTTGTTAGCATGATGTTAACCACATCACTTAGCACATACTGATTTTATTCACTCATTGTCTCTTTGTATCACTATATGTCACATAAGGCTAGCAGTCAGTTTCTCTGTTCTGTTCTGTCCTGTGTAATCACTATATGTCACATAAGGCTAGCAGTATTCTGTTCTGTCCTGTGTAATCACTATATGTCACTTAGGGCTAGCAGTATTCTGTTCTGTCCAGTGTAATCACTATATGTCACATAGTGCTAGCAGTATTCTGTTCTATCGTGTGTAATCACTATATGTCACATAGTGCTAGCAGTATTCTGTTCTGTCCTGTGTAATCACTATATGTCACATAGTGCTAGCAGTATTCTGTTCTGTCCTGTGTAATCACTAAATGTCACATAGTGCTAGCAGTATTCTGTTCTGTCCTGTGTAATCACTTTGATAACACAGATCAAATTCAGTCAAGCATCCTTTGCTTCTGTCATCAGCATTCACTTTTAGGGTGTCTCTTGAGCATCTTGTTTCCTCAGTTTCTGATTTAAGTGCCTGTTTTTTTTATTCTTCTTCTTCGATCCTTCTGTCAGAAAACTTATATCAGGAGTCTGGTAGCTTTTATGAAAGCTATCGTGCAATCCATATCCTCTCGTGTACCATACAGTTTTGTCTTTAGTGGGGTTGGAACAGGCCAGATTGCGTCTCTGTTGTCTGCATACAGTTGACAGTGTTGGAGCACATGCTCAGCATTTTCGGGTGCCACGCTGCAGGGACACGTCACCGTATTTCCTACACCGAAAAAATGTGAACATATGTTGACGAAATCTGTTGTGCCCAGTCCTTAGTCTGAATATGATACACTGTCCCTCTCTAGAGAGGCGATGAAGTTAGTCTTGAGGAGAAAATCTTTTGTGGGTATCCAGCCACCTTTCTTGGATACTAGATTGTATTAATGTTTTTATCTCTTGGTGGGTTAAGTCGCTATTTGGTTGTACCATGTCACTGCCGCTTTTGGCCAATCTGTCCGCTATTTCATTGCCTTTCAAGCCACAGTGACCTGGAATTCACTGCAGTACAGATTGTTCTACTGAAGAGCCTAAGTAAATCAGCTGTTGCGTCAAGTCTACAAACTGAGTGTTAAAAAAAATAGTGGGGATGGGAGGGGGGTGGGGTGGTAAGGACTGTGTGCCAGATAGGCCACCGGCCCTTGATTAATAATGGTGGTGTTCTTATATGATGTCATTTAAGATTTTACCGATTATTGTTACTTTTGGAATTCATTATGTATTTTATCGTCCCAGTTATAAAGAAAAAACTGGGGCTTTTGAGTTGAAATGTCATATAAAGATTCTCAGAATATCATGAACAAATAAGAAAAAAAAATACTGACACCCTAAAAATCTGAACATTAAGAAAGATTGGCTAGTAAACAGCATCTTGTCTCGGAAATTGAAATATTTTGGCCATCTCAAGTGCCACGGTTTATTGGCAAAAATAGTAGCAGAAACATGGTACTAGGAAAGATGGAAATATTTTGGCCATATCAAGTGCCACGGTTTATTGGCAAAAATAGTATCAGAAGCATGGTACCAGGAAAGAAGGAAATATTTTGGCCATATCAAGCGCCACGGTGGATTGAAAATAAAAAAAAAACAGTAGCAGAAGCGTGGTACCAGGAAAGAAGGAAATATTTTGGCCATATCAAGCGCCATGGTGGATTGAAAAAAAAAAACAGTAGCAGAAGCATGGTACCAGAAAAGAAGGAAATATTTTGGCCATATCAAGTGCCACGGTGAATTGGAAATAATAGTAGCAGAAGCATGGTACCAGGAAAGAAGGAAATATTTTGGCCATATCAAGCGCCACGGTGGATTGAAAAAAAAAAAAAAAGTAGCAGAAGCATGGTACCAGGAAAGAAGGAAATATTTTGGCCATATCAAGCGCCATGGTGGATTGAAAAAATAGCAGAAGCGTGGTACCAGCAGGGGCTGACCAGCACGAAGATGGGCACAGGATATAAGTGACACCTCGGGTATTAAAGTACACTAGGTAGAAGAGCTGGTGAGTAACGGTTCCTTTCAGACAGAGTTTGGTGAGAGCGAGACGATGTTCATCTGCACAGGACCTATCACATGGTGGTGATGTTGATGATTTCATTGCTCTTATTCTTGGCTTGACTTTTGTCTCCAGGTTGGTCATTATTAGCACACTGTTGACAGGAAGAATAGCAGACTATTGACAGGAAGAATAGCACCATATTGACAGGAAGAATAGCAGATTATTGACAGGAAGAATAGCACCATATTGACAGGAAGAATAGCACACTATTGACAGAAAGAATAGCACACTATGGACAGGAAGAATAGCACACTATTGACAGAAAGAATAGCACACTATGGACAGGAAGAATAGCACACTATTGACAGAAAGAATAGCACACTATGGACAGGAAGAATAGCACACTATTGACTGGAAGAATAGCACACTGTGGACAGGAAGAATATCACACTGTGGACAGGAAGAATAGCACACTGTTGACAGGAAGAATAGCAGATTATTGACAGGAAGAAAAGCAGATTATTGACAGGAAGAAAAGCACAATATTGACAGGAAGAATAGCAGATTATTGACTGGAAGAATAGCACACCGTTGACAGGAAGAATAGCAGATTATTGACTGGAAGAATAGCACACTGTTGACAGGAAGAATAGCAGATTATTGACTGGAAGAATAGCACACTGTTGACAGGAAGAATAGCACACTGTTGACAGGAAGAATAGCACACTGTGGACAGGAAGAATAGCAGATTATTGACTGGAAGAATAGCACACTGTTGACAGGAAGAATAGCACACTGTTGTCAGGAAGAATAGCACACTGTTGACAGGAAGAATAGCACACTATTGACAGGAAGAATAGCAGATTATTGACTGGAAGAATAGCACACTGTTGACAGGAAGAATAGCACACTGTTGACAGGAAGAATATCACACTGTTGACAGGAAGAATAGCAGATTATTGACTGGAAGAATAGCACACTGTTGACAGGAAGAATAGCAGATTATTGACAGGAAGAATAGCAGATTATTGACTGGAAGAATAGCACACTATTGACAGGAAGAATAGCAGATTATTGACTGAAAGAATAGCACACTATTGACAGGAAGAATAGCAGATTATTGACTGGAAGAATAGCACACTGTTGACAGGAAGAATAGCACACTGTTGACAGGAAGAATAGCACACTGTTGACAGGAAGAATAGCAGATTATTGACTGGAAGAATAGCACACCGTTGACAGGAAGAATAGCAGATTATTGACTGGAAGAATAGCACACTATTGACAGGAAGAATAGCAGATTATTGACTGGAAGAATAGCACACTGTGGACAGGAAGAATAGCACACTTGACAGGAAGAATATCACACTGTTGACAGGAAGAATAGCACACTGTTGACAGGAAGAATAGCACACTGTTGACAGGAAGAATAGCACACTGTTGACAGGAAGAATAGCATACTATTGACAGGAAGAATAGCACACTATTGACAGGAAGAATTCCTAATGTGTGTTTTTGAGGCCCATTGTGGGGGAGAACAAGACTAGATCTACTGCCTCCACGACAAGCAGGTCGTAAGAGAGTCAACTAATTGGGGGCTTCCTTTGAAGTTGGAGGGCATCTGCCTGAGAGGCAAGGAACCAACAGTCTGCATACAAATAAGTGAGATCTGTAAAATGGATGTGCATGCAACACTCAGGCTCTGGAACAAGACTAAAGTCTAGAGATGGACAAACAACCAGAACTTTCTGCCAAAGTTTACAGCTGGTGAACGCGAAGGCGAAGAAAGAGGATAGGAAGAATGTGGCAACAGTACTTTTTTGTAGGACACTGATTATTTTTTCATGTGTTTGGTCTGCAATATAAATGACAGATGCCTCACCGTTTGACCTCCTTTCTTTCATCTGCGATGGATTTCTGCAGCCATTTTCTTTCTCTCTAAATTGAAATAGCCAGTATTAAGTAATATGTTTATTCATGATTTGCCTCACAGGTTCCAGCAATTTTTATTTCTCGACTGGTGCCGGGTGGTCTGGCGGAGAGTACAGGACTTCTTGCAGTAAATGACGAGGTTTTAGAGGTTAACGGCATTGAAGTGGCAGGGAAAAAACTGGATCAGGTGAGTGGGGGGGGGGGGGGTATGGGGGTTAGACCCACTAGCCCCCAACAAGTACATCGTAAAAATCATCTGATTCGGGATTTTTCCTTCAAAGTCAGAGTGCATCTGCCTGAGAGGCGAGGAACCAACAGTTTGCATACAGATAAGCCCGATCTGTAAAACTAAATGAACTTCAGAACTTTCTGCCGAAGTTTACATGTTATGAACTTGAAGAAGTAGAAGACTGTTGTTGGAATTTTTTGGTAAAGCTGGAATGTGTGGCTTCTAGCCTGCTTGCCCACTAGTCCAGTGGCCATGTGTTTAAATCCCCATTGAGTTCCAAATATTTTAATTTGACATGGACCACCAGAGGAGCAGCCGGTCGAACGATTAAGAAGGCTGGTCTTTCATATGGGAGACCTAGATTCAAATCCTCAGTAAGGTAGTGGTTTTATTCTGTCCGGGTCAAACGATGAATCCTAATGAATCCTAACCTACATAATCCACAGTAACTGCACTTGCCATGCGACCCTAAATCATCAGGCTTAAGGACCCCCACGCCCGACCCCCAGACAGCTTTAAAATGTAAACACAGGCAGCGAAGAGCTTTAGTGACAGTCCCAGATAGACCCTGGTATATTCAAGAGAAAAAAAAAAGCAAGCACCATATAATCGGTAGGCCATCACTTGAGACAAGGTGTGCTTTGTTTGTATTTGCCCTGAATTTTCTGTGTGCTTTATTGCCAGCTTGGACTGTCAAACTACAGGTTTGGTAGCCAACACTTGATCATTCCTCATTTTTTAAAGATGTTTTTAATCTCATTGCTGCTAATGTGGATTCTGGGGACCTCACTGTGGGTTCCGGGGCCCCATTGTGGGGATAAAAAAGGATATACCCACTGCCATGTCTAATAAGCATGTCATAAAAGGCAACTAATTAGGGATGTTTCCATCAAAGTCAGAATGCACATGCCTGAAAAGTGAGGAACCAATGGTCTGCAGACAAATAAGCCAGATATGTACACGAAAAACTCAAATTTCTAGAACAAGACCAAAGTCCAGAAGTGAACGAACAATCAGAGCTTTCCACAGGAGTTTACAGCCAAGAAATGTTAAGAAGATTTCAGAGCTACGGAATTGTCTATTTGGCTGCCAAATGCTGAGAATTGGGAGTATAGACCAGAACAGCCAAGCATGAGAGAAACACCGGACGCACACAAAGTCTTGTCAACCAGCATAGGACTGGCACTATCAACCACGCGGCGCTGATGCATCTGTTGAAGAGGGAATCTGAGCACCTGTGGATATGTCCGGAGTGCTGTAAGATAATTTCTCATAACTCATGTCCAAAATAGGAGAAATTTCTTACTCAATCTATTTTCTCTATGTTTACTGTGATGATTATTGTTAATTTGCACTTTTCCATTGTTAATAATTATAATTTGTATGTGTGTATACCATGTGTAGCGGTGTCCGTGGCTAAGGTGTTGCAAGTCCGACTTGTAATCCAACGTACCGCGATTGAAACCCATTGGGGGCTGCGTGGATTTTTATCGGGGTATGCGACATCGCAGGCTGACCCAGCCTCAAATGGGTACCAGGATGGCTGTCCTGGGGCAGTAAAGACGGCCGGCGTAATACTGACCACATTACCCACCGAGTGCCGATTGGTCTGTAAAAATATGGGTGCTTTTCCCTAAGGGCGTTCTTTACTTTACTTACTTATACCATGTGTTGTTAATTGACATCATCTCTTACATTCTCTATTTTACCTGTTGTAGGTAACCGACATGATGGTGGCAAATAGTTCAAACCTGATCATCACAGTGAAACCTGTCAATCAGCACTTGACACTTGCCCCGCAAAGAGGCGGAGCCGGTCGCCACAGCAACCTGTCTTCCAATTCCCAAGCTTCCCATAAATCCCAGGCTTCCAACTTGTCGTATCACTCGGCCAGATCTTACGACAGCGAGCCAGTTGCAGAAGCGGATGAGGAAGATGAAATACAAGACCACCTCTCACCAACTCTGAGCAAATCTTCGGAAATACCAGATTCTTCATTTGACCGGCACAGCAGTAAAGGTTCTGGAAAATTTGGGAGTACACGTGGGAGTGGGGGAAAAGCCGGCAGTAACAACAGTAGCAAAAGAATAATAAAAGGTGCTGAGAAGGAAAACGGAGATGCAAACGTTGGGCTCTAGCCAATGAGATTGCTCGATACATGGACACAAGTAAAATGTGTATATATATTATGATGATTGTTATCCTCTGACCAATGATATTGTTTGATACAGAGAAACAAGGGAGACTACTGTAAATAGCATGGTGATTGTGACATGAATCTGGGAAGAAGAGTTATTTCACTTGTAGAATGCAATTTCAACAAAAGGGTATTTGTAATTTTATTTTGAAACACCAGATTGTGGGTGGGAATTAGTATGTGTAAAATTAGATTTGTCACAGAGTACGGTAGTTATTTTTATGATTTGTTTAAGTCTATACTTTAAGTTTATTTGTGAGTACTTTAATTTTGGTAAAACAGTAGAACTCACTCACTTACCGATGTGCATGTTGCAGATTTTAGCCTGTGTTGGTTCGTCATATTGTGCAAAGTAATCATTTAGGAATTGTTTACGATCACTGGTGTCTGGCACATAGCTTTTGTTGAAAATAAAAGCTGCCGAAACAGCCCTCATGTTGTGTGGTGGCTCAGATTTTTAATTAACCTCCTATGGCTGACATTTCCTGGCCATTCATGATTTAGGACCTCTGCCCGTGTTTAAACAAAGGCTGGTGACTCTCTTCAACCATCCACAACTCTTGTCAGTACAGTCCTCTTGGCAAGACATGTGACAAGGTGCCACTGGGGTCATAATGCATTAATTAGGCTTGTAGGTAGGAACCTTTGAACATATGGTGCATTTCTTGGTACTCAAAGAGTTAAAGGAAGGGCATCTCATTGTGTTGTAGTTTACAGCTAGGCTGCGATATCTGTGCCTTTCGTCCAACACATCCATTTTCAGCAAACCAGTAATTAGTAGTGTTTTTGCTCAACGTGTTTATTAGGGGGCGGTGGGTTTATTCCCTCCACTCCCCCCCCCCCCCCTATCCAAAAGGGGATCAACAGGACCCACACAGGAAGTCAGTGAAATTAACACAAAACCTTCAGAGTATGAGACAAATGGCTTAACCACATCATCGTGGAGACAACACCCCCATTCCTCTCCGCCTTTTCCCCAATCAAAAAGTGAGTCTCCAGAATCCACACAAGAAGTCAGTAAAATGAACCCATGACCTTCAGAATACGAGGCAAATAGCTTAACCATATCGCCATAAAGCGCCTCCCCCCTTTTCCTGGTGGCAGTTGCTATTTCACATAACTATGCTTTAAAAATAAAAAACCTCACTAGCAGAAAATGTTTATCAATGATTGAGATGGGCATTGATCAAGGGATTTTATCTTGACCAGAAAGACACCCCAGATTTTTCCCGAAAATAACTTGTTTACTTAAGTTAAAGAAAATTTTTTTTTTTGTTCAAACGTATATTTACTTCATTATTTCAGGTCGGGAAAATTTAATTTCTTTGTCTTTATTAATAGAAGACCAGTAATTTGTATGTTACATTGATTGAAGAGCCAGTCATTCCTACAACTTGGAGCAAAACAATTTATTTTATTTCTTGTATTATTAATGTTTATATTTTATTTTGAATATGGAACCATGTAACTGTTTACCCCTGTAATCATCATGTTCCTTCATGACTCATTCCCAAGCATACATGTCCTATCAGCAGTTAATCAAAATGTCTTGTTAACTTGATGTACAAAACAGAATATTTTCTATACCTGGCTCAATACCAACTGGCAAACTGGTTGTGTTTTTGCTTCATCACTGAGCATTCCTTAAATGACGTATTGTGGTGAAAGTATATTTGATTTTATTTGTTTTGTGTGAACAGTGTAGGACATTCATTTTTGTTGTACACACATGGAATTCCCTCAGAATTTGGAATATTTTTAAAGCTTTAAGTAATTTGTCAGTTGCGTTAGTTAGCAAATGTTTGTTTTAAAAATTATTGCCCACTTACTAATGTGTACAGACATAATGTTATTTGTGTGTAGGTATATAAGATCGAGATGTAGAAAGTTAATGAAAGCCATTTTTCATGTTCTTGGATTATTTTTCTCTCACCTCCTTGCTTATGTTCTCACATATACATTATATGTGTGTGCAGTGTATTGTTTGTTTCTGTATTTTTTAAATATACAATATGCATTTGTCCCTCACATACACATGCACACTCTCTCTCTCTGTCTCTCTCTCTCACACACACACACATCTGTACACACACACACTCTTTTTTTCTCCTTCACACACACAATCTGCACACACTCTCTTTTTTTTCTTTTCTCTCTCTCTCTCTCTCTCTCTCTCTTTCACTCACAAACACATCCACACACACTCTCTCTCTCTCTCTCTCTCTCTCTCTCTCTCTCTCTCTCATACACACATTTCTGTGACATCCCGGCTATGTTTTGTTTCCTTGAAATGATTTCACATTTTGTTTTTCTTTCTTCCATGTATTTATTTATAGTTGTGACTGGCAGACTCACGGTTGAGAAGTCTGTGTGTTCATGTGTGTGTGTGTGTGTGTGTGTATATTTGTGTGTGTGTGTGTGTGTGTGTACTTGTGCATGTGCGCATGCATGTGTTCGTTCATTTGCATGCATGCACCTAAGCCAGCTTGCTGGCTGGACATACAAGAAGTCATATTTAAATATTTTCATAATTTCCTGTCAACAAATTAATTTTTTGTAAAATTTGTATCTTTTTTATGCAATTAGGATATTCTGTAAACGGTAAGTGCCTCAGAAAAAACAATGTTGTTATTCTCTTTGATGTGAGATATTCAACTTTGTTAATTTTTGTAACATTTTCAAAAGACATTCAGATTGTTTGTTCATCAAGCTGTGTACGATTTGATTATTTATATGTGATGCTGTATAGAACACATGAGAAGTTTTATTGAATCTTGTTTCAGTTGTTGAACATTTGGAAATTTAGTTCAGACGTAAAAGACAGTTTTATCAGTTCTACAACAAGAATAATTCTGATGTATACAAATGGCAAAATGTGCCAGAGAGAGTAGTAATTGTATGACTCTACGAAATATTCACTTGCCAGTTAGCCTGTAATGGGCAGTATTCTTTTCTTGTGCTCATTTCTCTTGTGTGCTGATAACAGAGCCTGGCTTGTAGCCATGACAGTCGGCTCTGAAAGCCAAAATTCTTGTCTGGCGAGCAGCAGATCTTTTTTGTTGAAGATACAATTTGTGATGTGTACAACATTGTGTTATTAGAAGTACTCTGAGTTCTAAAATGTTTACCCTTAACTACTGCGTAAAAAAAAAAAATGGTTGTGACAACATTATTATTTTAAATTTTTAAAGTTTGAGGTCTATAAATAACTGAACTAAAGTCGATCTTCGGTATTAACACTTTCTAAAATTCTGAACACCCCCAACCCTCCAAATTTTGCTTTACAACAAATGCATCGTTATAATTCTCTCAAACTAACCTGAGCAGTTAGGATTAGAGAAGAAGCAGCTGAAGAAATTGTGAGTCTTGGTCAGTGTTTATAAATATTCAGGGATCGAACCCCTAGACCACCAACAAGATGGGCGGGCTTGGAATTATCGGCTTCTTTTATGACATCACGTCACACACACACACACAAATTCATGGCGCGAAAGGTCTGAATTGGGAAAAGGTTTCTATTAACATGTAGGAACGTCAACACTCAATACAGACGGAGAACAGAATGATCTGATTTTCTTCCCTTGGACCATTTAAAAGTGGTTTCGGCCACTTTATCACAGAAGGCGTGTGACAAAATAATGAAAAATGACATTACGGTGAATCTACAGTTTTTTATCAGTATTAAAAAAAAATTTCTAAATAATATCTTTACATTTGTGCAGGTAAATATAATGATATTCCTCATATCTACACATGCAGTTGCAGTTAATACCAAAGCTGTCATAAGGCATACTGGGCAGTGTCCAAAGACATCATGTCAAACAAAACCCATAAAATTTGGAGGGGGGGGGGGACCCCTTTTTCAGAGCAAAAGGAAAACAAATACTAGATTATGATGGAAAGTTCTGTTTTCTGTCTACATTTCCAGTGAAAAAGAAGAGTGATTAATGAAATTTTATCCGTTGTCTGTTATTTATAACAAGATTTTCATGCTGTATATTGTTCCAGATTCATATAATTATTTGTTTCTTTTGCTGTATCATGTCATTTTTGAATTTGTACTTGACAATTTCATTTATTTTATGGTGATGTTTGGGGGTTTTTTGGTTGTATTTATAACATTTGTGTAACTTGTAAATAACATTTATGTAGCTTATATATAAAGGTTATATAGCTCTTATTGAAACATTTCATTTATATTGTAACAATTTATCCTACAGTGCAGTAGATAATTTCACTAAGAAGTGAACTGGTATACTCCATTCAACACCACCACCTCACACTTAGCCTTCCTTTCCTTTACCACTTACTGCAGCTCCTTTCTCTCCATCTCAGTCTCTGTTTTTTTTTCATGTGTTTATAAACCCCTTCATTTCTTTTGCCATGATGGTTCCGAAAAAAAACCCTTTATAATGATACTATTAATGTTTTTCGGGAAATATGTTCTAACCAGCTTGAAGTCCTATCGTCATCTCTTGATACAGGTGTGTTAACTCTACCACACCAGAGGTCCTGATTTTATCTGTCCCCTACACCTGGGCTCCTCGACATTCAAGTGAAAAAAACCAACATGATATACAAAATACAAAAATATTAGTTACATGCAAACAAGTTGTTAGAATAAAATGAAACTTGGAGAAATTGTAGAAAATTGGTTTACCTTTCATCTTGTCGCCAGTATTCCACCTTTGTATGCCAGTTCACCCAGCATGATGAGCCTTGTTTGACACAGAGGTATTTTTTGCAAAGTGAGCACCAGATGTTGCTCTTCACCTTCTTGCAAGGACTGTTTTTGTCCAAAGCACTCCAGGATTTTGCTTGTTGTACCTGGAGTGCTTTTCCATGCTCCTTGCACACAACACAGATATGATCAGATAATGCTCACTGTAGCATCTTTGAATTTTTTTGGTATTGTAGGAGTTGGGCTTTGCCGTATGCAGT